GATAACTAAATAATTATCTAGATAAGATAAGATAATTTTAACAAAATATTATCTAGATAAAAATAAAGATAACATAAATGTAATTTATCTAGATAAAGATAAATACAACAATACATTTATCTAGATAAATATCTACATAAATATCATTTTTTTACACTTATTTAATGTTTTTTAGTATTTTTTTAATATTAGATTTCTATCAATATAATGACATAATATTTATAAAAACAACGGTATGAGACTTTAAATTTAACTATTTGAATATTATACCAATAAGAATGAAACATCAAAACATTTAAACCAATACTAGTATTCCACTGTTCAAAATTATGTAGTTAGCTGACTCTTTATTCTTTAATACTATAATATTTCTACCCCTACTTTTATATAAATGCATACAATAATGAATTAATAATAATTGATACATTTTAATACAAAACTAGTCAAGTAAAAAATAATTAATTTGTATTATCTCAAGGAAAAGTCAGTTCTAAATAAATCTTGTCAAATGCCTATGTATGCACTGATAGGCTATAGCCACTTGTAAATCATATTAAACCAATATTAAAAAAGGATGAACCAAGGATGAACTTAAATATTTAAAAAAACATTTAAACAGTAAATAATACATTATAATCAATGTATGGTAAGAAATAGTTGAATGCTAAAATATAAGCGAATTGTTTTATTATTGAATACCTACAACATTTTTAATAGTTCATAAGACAAAAAAAAAATAATTATAAAATTACAACTGTATAATATTAATAAAAAAAAGGTGGGTAAGTGGATGTCGCTCTGCTGTACTGTAGGTTACGAGTGGGTCACTGTATAATGGATGGTATTAAATTTGAATTCAATGATAAAATATCATTGTATAAGAAAAACGATTCTGAGCGAAGAAGGTATGTCAGTCTAGGTTTAAGACATATTATATACATATCTATGGTATTAAAAAAAAAATTGACATATAAAAAATTCCAAATTAATCATATCACAATATCCACTAGGTACTTTAACACGTTATACATCAATAACAAACCCTGATACTATCATTGATATATAATATAGTGTACTTTAAAAGTTTCAAGTACCCACGAATAGTATTATACACTCACAACAAAATAACTAAAATAGGTATGCTAGGTTTTTTAATATGTAATTTCGTCCCAAATTTGAACTTAAAATGTCTGTAAAAAATAACTGTGCTCATATATTTTTTAGATTTTTTGGCTACAGTATGAACTATTTATGAGAATCTTTTTTTTAAATTTTCAATCCTTAGCTATAAAAACTGAACATTTTATAATTTATTAATTACAATGATTGATAATTTTCGAGATTTTGATAAATTTTGTCAAAATGCGATCTTTAAATGCTTATAAAAAAAATTGTGCCTATGTATTTTTAATATTTTTCAATTGATATTGTAACAATATATCAGGAGCTTTGTATTAATTTTTCACACTTTTTGGCCCAACAGATAAAACTTTATTAATATTTATAGAAAAAAAAAAACTAAAAAAATTGAAAACTGAAAATGTCCGTGAACGGCTCAAAAAGAGTCAAAATATTTTCAAAATTGTATGGTGTATAGGAAATGCTAATATAAACATTCAGTGAAATTTTCATGTATCTACAGTAATTCGTTTTTGAATTACAACAAAATAAGGAAATCGCCACATGAGAAATCGAGTGAATATCCAATGTTGTAAAAGTTTGAATTTCAAACGCTCATAGAAATTTAATTTGACTTTCTTATAGAATTTTTTTTTTTGATAAATGTAGGATATCTTATAAGGAATCTTGTATTACATTTTCATATCTTAGATTTAAAGAGAAAAATTTTTATGAATTTCTAACTCGAAATAATTTGAAAATTTTCGTGATTTTTCCATATTATGGAATATTATTTTTTTGAACTTTAAATGCTTAAAAAAAAAACTGTGACTAAAGATTTTTAATATTTTTCATCTGTCTTTGAAACAATATAGTAGGAGCCTTGTATTAAATTTTCAAGTATTTTTACTCAACAAATAAATTTTTATTGATATTCATAAAAAAAAAACTAATAAAATTGGAAACTGAAAATGTCCCTAAACAGTTCAAAATAAATCAAAATATTTTGAAAATGTCATCGTGTATAGAAAATGCAAATATAAACAACCACTGAAAATGTCATGTATCTACGGTTATTTGTTTTAAAGTTACACCAAAAACCAAAATCGATTTTTTGGAAAACCGATTTTGCGTAAAAATTCCCGTTTTTCCTTAATTTTTATGTTGTTTTTCCCGGCGCTCTTGAAAACTACTGGGAAATTTAAATTTTGACCTTCCCAATGCACCAACGATATTCACTTTCCAATCGAACAAGATACTGAAGTCGAAAATCGAAGCATTATTTCGACTACTTATCGTGTACACACACTAAAAAAAAAACACACATCATTGTAAAATCAATACATTCATCGTTTCACTCAGAATCTAAAACCTACATAATAATAAGAGTTATTCATTTCAGTTGTAATATATCCTATAAATTATTTATTTCAGATACTTCATTATGCAAAAAAAGTAACATGGTACTCGATTATCATAGAAGTTTTTATATTGATAATTTGTGTTTCTATGATGGTGATGAAATTAGGTTAGTCAGAAAAAAACTGTAGTTCTTACCTATTATACGTAGCTGGTCTTGTGGTACATAGACTTAATCCTTTTACAGTTACATTGAAATTTTTTTAGATTTTTCGGTAAGAGAATTAACTACTTACGTAGAATCTTGTTTTAAATTTTCAATCCTTAGCTATAAAAACTGAACATTTTATAATTTATTAATTAAGATGATTAATAATTTTCGAGATTTTGAAAAATTCTGTCAAAATTCGATGTTAAAATGCTTATAAAAAAAAATTGTGCCTATGTATTTTTAATATTTTTCAACTGATATTGTAACAATATATCAGGAGCCTTGTATTAAATTTTTACACTTTTTGGCCCAACAGATAAAACTTTATTGATATTTATAGAAAAAAAAAACTAAAAAAATTGAAAACTGAAAATGTCCGTAAACGGCTCAAAAAGAGTCAAAATATTTTCAAAATTGTATGGTGTATAGGAAATGCTAATATAAACATTCAGTGAAATTTTCATGTATCTACAGTAATTCGTTTTTTAATTACAACAAAAAAGGAAATTGCCACATGAGAAATCGAGTGAATATCCAATGTTGTAAAAATTTGAATTTCAAACGCTCATAAAAATTTAATTTGACTTTCCGGTAGAGATTTTTTTATTGATAAAGGTAGACAATCTTATGAGTAATCTTGTATTAGATTTTCAAATCTTAGATTTAAAAATAAAAATTTTTACGAATTCTTAACTCAAAATAATTTGCTAATTTTCGTGATTTTTCCATATTTTGTCAATTTTTGAACTTTAAATGCTTATAAAAAAAAATTGTGACTAAGGATTTTTAATATTTTTCATCTGCCTTTGAAACAATATATTAGGAGCCTTCTATTAAATTTTCAAGCTTTCGCAACCAACAAATAAAATTTTATTGATATTTCTAGAAAAAAAACTAAAAAAAAACGAAAAATTAAAATGTCCCTAAACTGTTCAAAATAAATCAAAATATTTTGAAAATGTTATCGTGTATAGAAGATGCAAATATAAACAACCAGTGAAAATTTCATGTACCTACGGTCATTTGTTTTAAAGTTACACCAAAAACAAAATTCAATTTTCTGAAAAATCGATTTTGCGTAAAAATTCCCGTTTTTCCTTCATTTTTCTTTTGTTTTTCTTGGCGCTTTTGAAAAGTACTGGGAATTTTAAATTTTGACCTCCCCAATGCACCAACGATATTCACTTTCCAATCGAACAAGATACTGAAGTCGAAAATCGAAGCATTATTTCGACTACTTATCGTGTACACAGATACAAAAAAAATAAAAAAACACACATCATTGTAAAACCAATACATTCATCGCTCCGCTCAGAATCTAAAATATTTTATAACAAAAACAAAAAACAATGTTTATAAACCTTTTGTTAGAACTACATGACATTAGAACTTGTTTGAATTAAGATTCTGACATCTACAACAAAATTAACATTTTTAATAGTTCATAAGACAAAAAAAAAATTATAAAATCACAACTGTATAATATTAATAAAAAAAAATATTTTATAACAAAAACAAATAACATTGTTAATAAACCTTTTGTTAGAACTACATGACATTAGAAGTTGTTTGAATTAAGATTCTGACATCTACAACATAAAAGCATTTCAAATGTTTTATCATTTAAACGATTTCTTCTTGGTGTCATGATTTGTGATCCACTACTAAATAAACGCTCTACTGGTGCAAACGAGGGAAGTGTTGTATTGTATTTGAAAAACATTTTTTTTATGATTGGAAATGAATTAAGAACATTAAAATCTTTATTTTTTGTGTTTAAATATTCCATAGCTTGAGCATTAATACAATTATGATTGCTTTGAATATCAATATCCACATCTAAACAATTCTCTGATAGGACTTGAAAAAATTCTTGGTCACTGCTATCACTATCAACATTTTCATCAGTATTCAAAACAGCATCTTTATCAGTATTAATTAAATAGCACTCATCAAAAAATATTTGTTTACAATATGATTTGTATCTATTGGGTACCCAGGATTGTTTAAACTTTGGGTGGCTTATAGCAGATAAAATGAAGGATTTACTTTTGATTTTTTTTAAATCAAATATATAATCAAATCTCTTCTCCAAACTGCTTATAATATTAAAACATAAAGGTCTACAGTGGACCAAGTTATCCATCTGTATTAATAAAAGTCTTAATGCCAGTATAGTGGGGGCAACAAAACCTAAATGACAAGACCTTTCACCTTGCAATTTATCCAATGATATTGCAAGGGGGCCCATCACCTTACAATATTCTTCTAAAAAACTCCATTCATTTTTTTTCATTTTTTTCATTTTTAACTAATTAAACACCAAGACTAAATTCTGTTTATTTGTAACTACTTTATGTACAGCATCATACATAGAATTCCATCTTGTCAAATTAGGAACTGGAAATTTACAACTACATAAATCAAAAACTTTATCTGAGACTACAGTACTTCGACTAAGAAGATTCCAAAATGATGATAACTTTTTAAATGTAATTTTTGAAATTGAATTATAGGCTTGATCGACTATTTTGGCAGTATCAACTGAAGATATTAGATTTAATGTGTGTGCTGAACATGTTAAATGACTTGGTAGAGACATTGTATTAGTAATTGTTTCTTTATGATTTAACATCAATGAAGACAAATCTACAACGTCAAATTCAAGATTAGAATCATTTACATCATCATCACTACTTATGTTAACATCGCTATCTGAGTCATCACTACTTATTAAGCCTAAATAATTTGAATCAGAAATATGTGTATTAGTCACATTAAATTGTTTTGAAAATGTACGAAATGCCTTGCCAAAATTTGAGGCATTGTCAGTAACTACACGGGTAACTTTTTCATTTTCAATTTTAAAGTCCAGCATTATTTCATTGATTACTTTGGCAATATTTAAATAAGTATGATTTCCTTTTATACGCCTGCAAGCTAATATATAAGAATACCTACTGTAGTTAAGTTTATCGATAAAATGACAAGTCATTCCTAAATAAATAGCTCTTATTGTTGGAACTCCAAATATCAGCAGTAACACACACATAACTTTGTTTTTCAATAAATCCAGTTAACATTTCTACATAAGCTTTATATTTATGGTTTAGTTCAATGACAAGAGCTTTTCTGTATGGAAGTACAATAGAATCTGATGTAAGGCCTCAAATCAACCGTTTGAATGATGGTTTTTCACATGTTGCTAGTGGTTTCATTTCTTCAACAATGTAGTTAAAAACTAAATCCTTCACCTGTAATAAAATAATTATAATATAATTATAATTTGGAAAGACATAAAATGTGCATAAAATAGTTAGGTAGATGTATTTATATAATTGCTATTTGCTTATGATTTTTTTTTTATATATATATTGAAAGTTATATATAATAGAAAGTATTTTTTAATTTATATATTGAATCATATTTTTTCAAGTTAACTTCTGACATAATAATTTCAATTTTATTTCAAGATGTTATAAAGTTTTTAATTTTTCAAATGGTTTTATTTTAAAACACACTTACGTTTTGGAATTGTCACAAAATCATCCCACAGTAATAAAAATAAAAATGAGTTAAGCCGTTGATATACCCACAACTTAAGTTATTAGTATATTAATGTACAGATAGTTATAAAGGTTAGAGATGTCTCTGTGATTTATATGTTAAATTTGAATTCAATGATATAAAAACATTGAATACGAAAAACGGTTCTGACTTTGAGCGACGACGATCTGCCATCTTAAAAAAAATACTATTACTAAGTATATTTTATAATATTACGGCTGTTAAGATAAATTATTTTACTATTAGACAATAGTACAGTACTTAAAATATAGATTAAATTAGTTTTTTCCAAAATACTTGCATTTAAAAATTTCATTGTGTGTATACAGCAAATAATATTATATATACATTAATAGTCTCAAGTAGGTACCTACCCACAGTAAAATGTTTAAATTATAACAAAATAACTGAAATCATTATTCGTCATTTAAATATCTAATTCTGTCAACATTTTAACTACACTTATGAAAAAAATCGTGCATACATAATACATATCTTTAATGTTTTTATTATATTATTAAAATAACTTCTTATATAAACTACCTTGTATTCCATTTTTAAATCTTATAAAAAAAACAAAAAATATTTTATTAATATCTAACTCATAATAGCTTGCACGTTTTTATAATTTTGACGAATTTCGTCACTCATAATATAGAAAATATAATGATTATAGTTAAAATGTGACAATGAGTAAAAGGAAACTTAGAAAAAAGGGGCGCCAAAATGTGTACCCAGGGTGCCAAAATCTTAAATACGCCACTGGACGCCAGCTATGAGCTAAATAGAAAAAGTTTAACGATAAAATGATTAATTTTTGAAATAGTTCAACTTTATCTAAGTAAAAAAAAATTTTAAACATTTACAAAATGATACAAAAGTTGCTTGAGCTCTAACTCGTAACTTCAAACTTGTAATCAAGTATACAATATCATAATATGACAAACACAACTCTTAAATTAAATTATTGTAATTTGTGTACCCAATTCACTTTTAACTACGTTAAGTTGCCTATCGATAAAACACAGTAATCTAAAAATAATTATCACAACCCACAATAAATAAATTATAAAACAATTTCACTTAACAACTACAAATTGGCATTGTTTTATACCTAGTGTTTTAAATTGTTTTAAAATGTAAACTTAATGTGTTCTTCACGTTTTTCTTAAAATATTAAATTTTTATAGTTTATTCGTCATCTTCTTCAAGTCTCTGATTCACATACTTCATTCTGCTCTAGAAAATCATCACGAACTTCGACCAAGTCGTTGTACAGTTCATCTAGTGCATGAAATAATAAAAATAATAATTACATATTAAGTTCTTAACTTTTGTACTATCGAGTGCGTGGGAGCTGATCGTTGCCGCTGAGATAACTATGCGATTTTCCTGACCCTCCTACCTCTGCTGGTAATTCATTTCTCGATATGTAATTGAATATATCATCTGAACCGACTGGATGAAGTGTTATCTGCAAATTATCACATGAAGCTATTGTATTAATTAACTAGATAAACCTCTATTAGTAATAAATAATTATACAGTTATGAATTAAAAGTTATATCAATATAAAACTATTCGACAATGCACTCAACACGTCAAGTTTGTTCATATTATGCTGTTCTTGCAGTACCTAATTCAAAAAATAATTTGTTTAGAAAATTCAATTTTTTTTTATTAGATTCTGAGTGAAACGATGAATGTATTGATTTTACAATGATGTGTGTTTTTTTTTTTATTTTTTTTATTTTTTTTGTGTCTGTGTACACGATAATTATCACAGCAAAATTATATTTTCAAAATATTGTGGAAATATTGTTAGCACAAATTTAAATATTTGATTTAGATTGTTACAATATTTTAAAAAATTGTCAAAATATTTTAGAAACATTTTTTTGGCAGGTGATTAAACGTTTTCACAATATTATAGCAATATATTTTCACAATATTGTATTTGTATATTTTCACAAACGTTTCCCTATATATTTTCACAATAATGTAGCCCTATATTTTCACAATATTATAGCTATATATTTTCACAATATTGTATTTGTATATTTTCACAAACGTTTCCATATATATTTTCACAATAATGTAGCCCTATATTTTCACAATATTGTAGCTATATATTTTTACAATATTTGATTTATGAATTTTCAAAATATTTGTAATAAATATATCTGAAATTATTTATCTATGATGTAGTATATTATATTATATTTAATGATACCCAATACATATAACAGACAAATGCCACAAATATTTTTTAGCTGTCTAACCAATATATTATTACAAACGTGCTGTATATTGTATTAAATTTATTTAATATTATATTGTTTAATTTATGCAAATAAAATGCAAGAAATGTTATTTGAGATGTATAAACAGAAGATAAAATAGGAAAAATTAAGACTTCGTTATAATAATATGGTTAAAAAAAAAATCATGATATAAATAATTATTAAAATATTTATTTATAATAATCATAAACATAAATTAATTATTATTCATTTTAAGCTTTTTTATTTTTTCTCGTTGACCTGCTTGGGCCATCCAATTTTTTAAGGGTTTTTCAATTTCATTATTTGGAACTTCTGAATACTTTTTAATTGTACGTACTGCTTCTAAAAAAATATAAATTAAACATTTTAAAAGTATATATTATCTACATTTAGAGTTGAGTTATAATTTGTACATTATACATGCATTTACACATGTGTATCATAACATATACGTATATGTTTTATTAAAGTTGATTTTCATAACAGTTTTTAGGTACATATATTTTATGAATATTCAATATAATATTTATTTTAACTTACCAAATATAACAGTGCAACTTTGCAATGTAGAAAATTGGTTTTTTCCTTTAAAACCAATAAAAGAATAGTTCATTAGAAATGAATCGCTAAATAGTACTTGCATAATTTTCCTCATAGTCTCTGCCAAAGTATTGCATGAAAAGCGAGACAAAGTTCTGATCTATAAAATAATAAAATATAAACATGTATAAAGATTGTATATTTATTTATTTGGATGACATACCATATTAGATCGGTATGAGGCATCATTAGTTAATTTATCTTCTGCCTTATATAAATCATCGTCATTATCAATAATAATAATATCTTCTTTATCTGAAGTAATGATGTTCGAACATCCTGAAAGTTTACCATCGATCTTCTCAAGCAGAGCTTCTAGAACATCCATGAGTGTATGTATATTTTGTACATCATACTTGAGGGTGGTCAAACTTTGTCTTATGTTTTTTTTAAAAGCTGAAATAATAATAAAGTAGTTGTAGGTTACTTACAATATTAATAAAATAATTATGATTGTAAAAATTGTTTAGAGAAATGATTTTACTACCTTCATCATTTTCAAGTTCAGGCTGAGAAGAGACCAATTGGTTTTTATTAATAGATATTTCATCTACTGACACATCAGACGATGATGCAGAATTTTTTGTTGAAATATAGGTGTTGTATAATTTAAATTTTTTATTTGATGCTATTTCAAATTTTGGTTTATTTGGTAGATTCACTGGTGTTTTGAAACCAGATTCAATACCTGAACAAACCTCATCATCAAATAAATTATCATCATTGTCTGAATCATTTAATTGTACTGGTGTGTATGTCTTATTGTCTATATATGAATCATCACCATCATCAGATCCTATATAAATTTAAAAAATTACAATTAATTACATATTTTGTACTTGTATAATGGTATATACTTTACATTTCATTTGAATTAAGATTATTTCAATTTATTAATTAAAAACAAAATATTAGGTACTTAATAACATTTTAAACAAATTGATATTTTAGATTCTAAACGGAGCGAGGAAGCTATAGTGGTTTTACAATGGTGTTTATTTATTTTAATTTTTTTTTGTTATATCCTGTATAAAAAATATCTACCAGTAGGAGTGCTTCAATTTCAACATAATATAGTACCTTATCTTTTAGCAAATCGGATCAATATATGGTACTTTAGAAAGGTAATTTTTTGATTTTCTCAATAATTATTTAATGCCACAGGAAAAACCACCGAAAAATTTCGAAAAACCGCTATAAATGGGATTTTAATTTCTAACGCTTTGTTTATCACCATAAAAACGAATAAACAATAATAATACCTATTATAATATAAATTCAACTTACAGGATAAAATAAATAATAACAATATCCAGACTGACAAACCGTCTCCGCTCAGAATCGTTTTTCTTATACAATGATATTATTTATGTAATGAGGTTTTTGAAAGCCATAATAAATTCCTACTGGAAATACACAGTCATGATATGGAATAATATAAGCCAAAATTGGCCATAATTGACCTGAACTACTTTTACTAATTGGTAGTCCATCCACTCCAACAGCAATTAATACATTTAATGTGTTCACTTAATTGTAAAATTGATGAGTATTTTATAATACCGTTTTTTAGTCCAAAATGATAATATTTACCAGGTTT